TCACCTTGCTTTGAAGAACCCACAGTTTTTCACCAGTGGAAAACACTAGACAAGTTTCCAGAGAAAAATGCCCAATTTTGCAGTACCCAATCCAGACTAATTTTTGTGGAGGATGGTTAGTTTCCCATCTCATGATCCACGCAGGAATCAATTACCCTGTACCTTTTACAGAGAGGTTGACTATGCAGGCATCCCTACATATCAGCTCTCTCCTGTCAACCAAGGCGTCCCCTGTGTGCCTACCCATGGTGACAGAGTGCCCAACAACTTGGGTTGAGGAGGGATCAGGCTGGTAGGAGCAGCCACTCTTACCTGTCCGTCACCTAATCCTCCTTGGCTCCTCTGGATTCCTCCCTCCCCCACCCCGCCACCCGGATAGAAAACAAAAACAAAAGTGTCCTAATCATACAGATTAGCAAGGCTAATGGTTTAAACTGTGATATTCTTTTGAGAAGGATAAGGACAAGCAAAACAAGTACGGTCTCTCAGTGGGGGAGGCATGTGCTGCTTACGGATGAGGCTTCCCCAGGGCGTGAGCCCCAGGGCCAGTCTCAATCCTTTTACTTGTCTTGGAGACCCCAAGGCCATCAATGGTGACCAAAGGGCAGGTTCAGAGCGCTGGATTGCTAGTCCTTATGTCCACTCTCCGGATGCACCTTAAACTAGCAGGGAAACCTATAAATGACCTTATTCTTCGGAGCTCTCTTGCTGGAGCCTTCATTGTTTGGTCACGTGAGTTTGCTTGCATTCTTAGCCCCACGGTGCCTGATGTGTCAGGCCCATTACAAACCAATTTCAATTATGTTTCCTCGCCTTACCCCTGCTACTTCTCCTGTTCACACACCTGAGTGTCGTATGTGAGCATGGCCCCACTATAGGCAAAGTCACTGAGGCAGGGGAAAAGCCAATTAAGAAAGCCAGAGAAGGAGGACCGACAGTGGAACTCGTTAGGACCAGGCCACCATTCCCTTCTTTTGAGGAAGCGGGATTGACCAAACCTTTCTCCAGAAGCTTGTCACCTGGGTCTTGAGACCAGGAGCCACGCTATTCACCTGTAGCTGGCTGACAGGTGCCCCGGTTTGCTGTTTGTTACAAGAAGAGGTTATCCAAGGGAGAGATGTCTCCCAGGAAAGAAAGGAAAGAGTCCGCATTTACTCACCCTTTGGTGAGCACGATCCTGGGTTTCAGCACCAAAATGCTCAGGAGAACTTGGCTCTAGTCTCACGGAATCCAAGAATGAATCTTGTGGACAAAGGAGAGTGACTAAAGGCATAGAAGCTTATGAGGAGAGGACACGTAGAAGGCTCTCGGCAGTGAAAGGGGCCCCGCCAGGGTTGCCACTGAAGGTGATTTTGGCTGGCCTTTCATAGAGAACCTGACTAGGGAGTTTCTGGCCTTGAGATTTCTTGTGTCGTCACGAGTGGATGATATATGGCTATTTTGGGGCCTGGTGAGTCTCTGTGCTTACTATGTAGCGGTCAAAGGATGATACTCCCTACCTTTCAGAGCTCGGGGCCAGATCCACTTCCTTACCTGTTTTTTTTTTTCCATCTCGGTGTCCTTGGGAGTTATGGGAGCCTGGTTCTGGGACCTTTCCATGCCTAGCCCGATCTATCCCTAACTGAATTATATACTTTGTAAGGAATGAGTAAGACTAATAACACCTCATCCCATGGCTCTGTCTTTACAATATATGTTATTTTAAAGACCCCCACATATAAAGGATCACCTGATGGGATGTGGAGATTATGCATGTGAAGCCCTTAGCACAATGCCTGAGACTGGACGGTGTTCAGTAGGCAGCAGCTGCAATTTTGTAGAATTTACATCACTGCCAATCTTGGGCTAAGGCCTTCCTCAGATAACCATGCATAGTTCTGAGATTCTCCTGTCATGTACCATTTCCAGACATTTAGGGGGGGTGCCATAATTTCTTCTATGCAGCAACGATGTGGGGCTAAAAACCATCAGTAGACATGTGAAGGTAAAGCTGGAAACGACCCAATGGCAGAAAGTCCCTAAAGATCCAAGCAGGGAGGAGGGCCACCTGGGTGGCTCAGTCAGTCAAGTGACTGACTCCTTACTTTGGCTCTGGTAGTGAGCTCAAGCCCCGCATGGGGCTCTGCAATCAGCGAGGAGTCTGCCTGAGGTTCTCTCCCTCTCCATCTGCCCCACCCCTGCTTGTGTGCTCTCTCTCTCCCTCTCTCTGATAAATAAATGAATCTTTGGTGTCCCTGGGTGGCGCAGTCAATCAAGCGACTGATTCTGGGTTGTGGCTCAGGTTGTGATCACAGGATGGTGAGGTGGAACCCTGCATCGGGCACTGCACTCAGTACGGAGTCTGCTTGAGATTCTCTTTCCATTTCCCTCTGTCCCTCCAATTCGTTCACTTGTTCTCTCACTCAAATAAATAAATAAATAAATAAATAAATAAATAAATAAATCTCTCAATCAATCAATCAATCTTAAAAAGGAAAAAGATTCCGGCAGAGTGGGAGCTACATAGGCAAGAAGATAGAGACTAGCTTTCTACTTTAGTGCAGTATTTCCTGGTGTCTCTCCTAAGAAAGAGGTGTATATGTACCCTCTAATGTTTACGGATTGGCATTTACAAGGTGTTTCCACCTTGTAGGACCAATTGTCCCAGTGGAGAGTCTACTGATTGCCTCTTGTTGGTAATTGCTGTGGGTGGGCAGCATCCCTTCTGAGACACAGGAAGATTTTCCCAGGAAAACACCCATGGACCTCTTATCACATTATTTTATCACACAGTCAACTACTACTTACCTAAGCAATACATGCATACCAATTTATTCTTTTAAAAAAATTTTTTAAAGATTTATTCATTCATTCAGAGAGAGTGAGAGAGAGGCAGAGACACAGGCAGAGGGAGAAGCAGGCCCCAGGCAGGAAGCCCGATGCGGGAGTCGATCCTGGGTCTCCAGGATCACACCCCAGGCTGCAGGCGGCGCTAAACCGCTGCGCCACTGGGGCTGCCCAATTTATTCTATACCACTTATGTCCATTCCCTTTGTCATCCCGCGGGCTGCTGATCACTAAGTACACTATGTACTGAGTATTGCCTCTGCCCGCTCACATAAAACCAGATGTCTTACTATGAATACGAGAACTTTCATGGGGACCTTTGGAGTACTTTATTTTTGCCTCTATAGCTACTGGAAAACTTCCCAAATGAGGACCTTCTTAGATGTTTGGAACAGAACTTCAGACGCATATACCAACACATGCTTTGGCTTAAAAGGAAACTTCTTTAAGAACATGTGAAGTTGGGCAATTAATTTCTCCCTGTAATGTCAAAGATTGGATAGTGGTGGAGGACTCATTTGTTCCTGTATACATTACTGCAGTTAGAAAAAGAGATTCTGTATGGGCTTATGTTTGAAAACTTGCAAACAAAAACCTGAAAACAAACAGAAGGTTGGTATACAGGGGTAAGAATTGATATTAAAAACAAAACAAGACAAAACAAAAACAACCCACGACACCATACAGAAAAACGGGAGAAAATCTTTCCTCTACTCCTAATGGGATTGTTTTGTTTTGAATGATTCATGGGAGGATTTTCAGTATCTCAGAAAATATATTTAAAGGGCTTATTCCAAATATATTCTGAAACAATGCCATGTTTATTAAATTACATGCCTAGATGAAGACAGTATTATGTTATCAAATGTTAAAACAAATGCCCACTACAAAAGGAGAGGTATAAGAATGAATTATTCAAGTTCCTAGCTCTCAAGTATAAAATCAGTGTTCCATATACTCAATGAATATTAAACTTGAAAACAAAGCACTGTAGGTGATTCATCTTTAAAGACAGATGTGAGGGGATCCGTGGGTGGCTCAGCGGATTAGCGCCTGCCTTCCGCTCAGGACATGGTCCTGGGCATCCGGGATCGAGTACCACGTTGGGCTCTGTGCATGGAGCCAGCTTCTCCCTCTGCCTGTGTCTCTGCATCTCTCTCTCTCTCTCTCTCTGTCTCTGTGTGCCTCATAAATAATTAAACAAACAAACAAAATGTTTTTTGAAAAAAGACAGATGTGAAATGCTTAAGCCCTGAGTAAGTACATGCGCATATTAGTGAAATATGTTCAATAAATGCTAAGGGCAGGTGTCATTTAATAGTGAACCAACACCAATTAAATGACATTTTGGTGTGCTTGTGGAAATGGCACATTCACAAACCCATGTCTCAGCACTGATATTTATATACGTAGTTCTTTTCTCCCAGCGATTGTAGGCAGTTTAATGGATTCAAAAACACAATCTTATATTTGCTTGCAATCATTTTTATAAGGCAGTAGAGTACGTTTTCTTCTGAAACCAGATCGTTATTGGAATTGGCTCAGTAAACTAATGAGTAAATACAGGCGGGTGCACGAATAACACAGATTTTATATTCTTTAATTTTTTTCCCTTTAGGCAAAGCAATGGAGCCTTCTTTCTGTACTTGTGGTTTGAGCCTTTTGGGGCTAATACAGATCCACTGAGGGCAAGCCTAAAATTAAATCATCCTTCTGCTAACAGCTAATTGACAGTGTTAAGTACAAAAAGTCTTCATTACTAACAAAGGGTTGAAAGCTTAATACGTATATAATTGTGGAACTGCCGCTCCTCACACAGCTTTTTAGGGTCGGGGTTTTAACAGGAAAAGATTCTTGCACTTAGCAAGCAAGCTACGATAAACAAGACGTACCAATTTCAACTACAATCTTTAAACTACTACAGTGTGGTTCAGTGCAGCTAATGTCATACTTAATAAAACGTAGCTTCCCGTTCTTTCGTTCTTCAAAGTCGTCAGAACAACAGGGAATGAAGAGACTTCTGAACCATTGCCAGCTCTTACTGCTGCTGTTTCAAGGAAGGAAATATGGGACATTTGCCCGTTATTCGGGTAACTGTCATACATTTTGGCAAAACAAATACCCCAATGCTCACATCTCTCCTTGGGTCTTAATATTAAATGTATACTACTTACAGCTTCCCTCATAATTTTGTTTTGCATCTTGGCGATTTCTTCTCTGACTTCACTTTGTTCATCAGTAAGAAGATGTTCATGGTCCTTGTCCAAGGCCTGCGAACTCTAAAACAAGAAGCCTAGTTCAGGTATGAAGCACCACTTTTCATCTCATGCTGCAAACATGTACAGTCAAATTTCAGGGGGCGCCTGGGTGGCTTAGCGGGTTAAGAGTCTGCCTTCAACTCAGGTCATGATTTCAGGGTCCTGGGATCGAGCCCTGTGTCAAGCTCTCTGCTCAGCTGGGAGTCTCCTTCTCCCCCTGCGTGTGCCGTCTCTCAAAATACATAAGATATTTTTAAAAAATTAAGTTAGATTTCAAAGGTAACAGCCCTTAATATTCAAGGGATGCTCATTAATTTTTCCAAACAAAACACTGTACCTGATACATGGAGATCGGAATACCCACTTAAAAAAATTTTTAAATGTTGTGTTTGAGTCAAATATTATAGAGGCGCGACAGTAGTACACTTGGCTCCAAACAATGCATTAATAGACAGTTAAGGTCAAGGTGGAGGAAAAACAGATAAAGACTGACCGTCCCACAGAATGAAAATCCATAATTTTAAAACACTCTATAAACACCACGGAACCCTGCAATTATAATGACTGATAACCAGTGTAACATATTCCATTGGAGGGAATGAAATGATCTGTAACACGGCCTCTTAAGTCATGAAAAACAAACATGGTCTAATCTTTACTGTTCACTTAACGAGTCGCGATCTAGTGCATCCTACGTAAAAGGTACTGTTAGGTGCTGTGAATTTGAAAAGGAATGCATGATCTCTTCCTCCCTTATTCCAGGGAGATAAAAACAGGTAAATTAAAAGCCACACAAATCCTTTGTAATGATTAAGGAAACACCACTTGCCATGACTGTGCTGGAAGGTAAGATTGACTCTGCGTTAGTTGGCGAAAGAATAGGACTTCAGTAGGTAAAGGGAAGAAGGAATTGAAAGTATTCCAGAAACAAGGAAGTAAAGGTGAGTTAGTTCAGAGAGAGCAACCAATCTGGAGGGGTGGGAGGAAAGGAGGAATGTCCACATAAAACCACAAAGGGGGGCAGCCACGGTGGCGCAGCGAAACCTCAGCCCAGGGCGTGATCCTGGAGACCCTGGATCAAGTCCCGCATCAGGCTCTCTAAGTGGAGCCTGCTTCTCCTCTGCCTGCGTCTCTGCCTCTCTCTCTCTCTGTGTCCCTATGAATAAATAAATAAAATATTTTTTTTTAAAAAAAGGGAGTTCTGTTACTGGGCAGGGGCAGATGCTGAATACCTGAGGGTTTAACATGGGAAGCTAATGACAGGTTTTCAGGAGGGAAGATCATATTGCAGAACCTCAAGAATGGACTGGAGAAGAGAGCACTCAGGTAAGCGTTTAATCGGAGGAGCAAGGAATGGTGAGATCCCGAACTAGGGCAGTAGCAGTAGGAATTCAAAGAAAGATGCAGTTGCAGAAAGGTTGCAAAGAAAGGCACCAATGCAGAGGTAAAGGGCCGACGCGGGCACAAACACACACACACACACACACACACACACACACACACACACACACTTGCGCGCACGCATGCACACACACACACACAGTGCCCATAGACACAACAAGAAAAAAAGAAGGGGAATGTGCAGGATTCCATCACTTCCTAAAGAAGTATATCTCTGCCTGAAGAAGAGCTATGTGTCACTGAGGACAATTTGCTGATGTGCAAATATCACACCAGATCATTCTCAATTCACAAACGGTTAGTCTTCCTCTGGCCTTTTCATTCTGATATACATTCCCTTAGACCTTTCCTTATGATTTTTTAAAAACTTTTTTAAAATTTTATTTATTCATGAGAGACAGACACGGAGAGAGAGAGAGAGAGAGAGAGAGAGAGAGAGAGAGAGAGGCAGAGACACAGGCAAAGGGAGAAGCAGGCTCCATGCAGGGAGCCCAACACGGGACTTGATTCTGGGACTCAAGATCACGCCCCGGGCTGAAGGCAGGCTCTAAACCACTGAGCCACCCAGGGATCCCTTAAGTCTGTGTATAAAGTCACTATTCCTCTAGTATTCCAAAAGCAAATGTGCCACAAAATACTCATGTAACATATTTGAATATAAAATCAGGATCCATCAATTACAACTGCCTACTCATATTTAACAGAAACCACTAATACAAGGAAAAGACACATAGAAGTGACTCATAGAATTCCTAGTTTCCACTATATGTTTATTGCTGATCTCCTCAAAACTGATGGTCGAACCAAAAAATCTTGCTCGAAGTGTTAATAAAGTACCAGTATTCTTCATGATATGTGTATTTCTAGGTAAAATTCCCACGTTGCCATTCCCTGTTTTAAACGACTCCCATCTAGTACACTTAGGACACTTTTTTATAGTATTTCTGTATTTTTTTTCCTTTTTATAATCAGGATCTTTAAATCTTCAACATTGGGGAAATAAAGTTGAAGATCTCAATTTCACACATAATCAAATTTACAAAAATAAGAGCTAAATGTGTGTGGCAATAGTGTGAAATGAAAGTAAAAAAATAAACGACTCCCATAAAAGTATTAATTAATGCTAAAAATAAAAAAAATGCATTTCCCAATTAGGCTGAATCCAAAACAGTGAGGTCTTACTTGACAATTTTGATGTACAACCTAAATGGTTTTCCACCCACAGATTCAGAAAGAAACTATCTTCTACTTTTATATACATATTATGCATTTTTTCAAGATTTGCTCATTTATTTGAGACACACACAGCGCACGTGCAAGGGGGCAGGGGACCAGAGGGAGAGAATCTTCAAGCAGACTCCCTGCTGAGAAGGGAGGCCCAGCGTGGCTCCATCCCACAACCCATGGGATCAGGACCCATGACCTGATCCAAAACCAGGAGTTGGTCGTTTGAAGCGACTGAGCCACCCAGGCACCCCTACGTCTTGTGTTTTCTAAGAGCGTATTGTGTTGCCAAATACAACAGACCTTTAAGAATTCTTTGTATACGTTTCTTAATTTTTCCAGCCTCTGGTTCTGAACAATTCTAGCTTGTTGCAGAATCTTTTGTTGCTCTTGAAACATACCCTGGGAACATAAAAGAAAAAGGTGACAAAATGTGGGTCACGTTTATTATTCAGAGAACATAATTACCCATCAGGTTAAAAAGGAAGATTCCTTAAATCAATACCTGTCAGCATTTCCTGTTTTAACAACTTTTGCGACCAAGTTTAGATCCTTGTGTTCACCACCCATATACAGAAACAATACACGATGACCCTACCCAGTAGCCATTAAGTGGGAAATTGTCTTCCTCACCGATATTGAAGACATGTATTAATTCTGGACTTCAAAGTCCACAAATGGCCCTTTCAATAATCTGTTTACCACAAGTAGGCAAAGACTCTATACAATAATCCTTCCTAACAGTAGTCACAGAGGAGCAATTCTTTCTTAACCACGTTCAAAACATGTGGTAATTCTTAGTCATTTCAGGACACGTACAGACGATCGAAGCCTCTCTGTTACTTGAGCTGCTCTCCAACAATAATTCTGTCCTCTTCCCTACTTTAGTCACTTATGTAGTCAGACCCGGGATTCCTAATAACTGCAACGTCTACATAAGATTAATTAGAGCAAGGACTTGCATATCAGCTCAATGTCAGGTACTGTTTGGAACCATTTCAAATAGACTTATTACATACGATCTCATTCAGCCCTCAAAACAACTCTACGAGGCAGATGCTCTTACCATGTCTCCTTTCATAGGTGAGGAACCTGAGTGAGATACAATTTGTCCCTGAAGTCACAGCTAGTACTGGTCAACCAGGATAGAGTTAAAAAAACAAAAAACAAGAAAAGTTTCTGGGGCTCAGGCTCCTGACCACTGTGCTATGCTGTTTCTCCACCCCACTCGGCCCCGCACAACATTCCATCTTTACCTCCCTGTTTATTGTTCTCTCCCCTTCTTACTACGGTTCAGTACTCTTTCAGAATTGATATCTCAATGATCCAAGGAGTCTTCCTTGTCCCCAGTCCCCATTCTCTTAGTCTCCCTTTTCCTCCTTCTTGGCTTAAATTCCATGGTCAATCGTCGTACCTCTGCACTTGCACGTGTACCTTGCCCCCTTTCCACTCTGTCAATCTGTGTGGCCGAACCCCAACCCTGGAAGATCCAGCTCTCTGGCCGCTCAGCCACAACTGTGCAGCGTGGTCTCACTTTAAATTCATGATCACTATGACAGTAAGCAAATCCAGACCCATAATGCTGCTTGGCAATGATATTCCCCTAGTGCATTCACTGGCCCGCTCTCAGGAAACAATTCCGGGACTTCCTCTCTGCCCCCCAAAGGCAGCGCCTCCTCCACCATTCTAACTCTTAACTGGTGTCCTTCCTGTATCACTAAATAGAAACCATCCAAATAGAACGTTCGGCCTCCCACCACTACTCATCTGGGCTATCTTCTACCCACCCTTACCCATCTGGGCTCACGGACTCTACATTCTCTCCTGTGTTTTTGCATGACCTCTTGCTACTTGAGACTTTGATACAGTAAAGAAATCAATAGAATAGATAAATTTTAAAGCGAAGGCTGATACCAACAGCTAGTTTTGCTTCCTGTTCCTGGGATTTCCTCATGTCGGTATCCCACTTCTGAAAGAGAGTCAGAAACTGCTGAGAGTATTTGAAATGAAGATTCTGCCTGTAAAACATGATAACAAGCACCATCACACTCCACAAAGAGATGACAAAATTAACCATATTTTGGAGGAATACTGTAACAGCAGCTGAAATAGTCTCAGGGGAAACAGAAAGGGCACACGAACAATTGACTCTTATTACCAACAGTATTGTTCCTAAGTGACCAATATAGAAGCCTTCTCACATGCCTTGCCTCTTAAACACTACAGAGGATTTACCATAAAATAAATATTCCAGAAAGACTCATTTTATCTAAAAGCAGCTTACTTTTCATTTCTTCTTCCTGAAGAAACTCTACATTCGGATGCGGTGAGTAGATTCAATGAGGATGTTATATCGAAGATTGCCAAACAGGAATATTTCACTTAAACAGTTCCCCTCTTTGGCACAACAGTGATTTTTTAAAATTTATTTTTTATTGGTGTCCAATTGGCCAATATAGAATAACACCCAGTACTCATCCCATCAAGTTTCCCCCTCAGTGCCCGTCACCCAGTCACCCCCACACCGGCCCACCTCCCCTTCCACCACCCCTAGTTCGTTTCCCAGAGTTAGGAGTTTCTCATGTTCTGTCTCCCTTTCTGATATTTCCCACTCATTTTTTTCTCCTTTCCCCTTTATTCCCTTTCACTACTTTTTATATTCCCCAAATGAATGAGACCATATGTTTGTCCTTCTCCGATTGACTTATTTCACTCAGCATAATACCCTCCAGTTCCATCCATGTTGAAGCAAATGGTGGATATTTGTCGTTTCTTATGCCTGAGTAATATTCCATTGTATACATAAACCACAACTTCTTTATCCATTCATCTTTCGATGGAAACCGAGGTTCCTTCCACAGTTTGACTATAGCGGATATTGCTGCTGTGAACATCGGGGTGCAGGTGTCCCGGTGTTATATGCATCTGTATCTTTGGGGTAAATCCCAAGAAGTGCAAAATCAATGCCCAGAAGTCAGTGGCATTTCTATACACTAACAGTCAGACTGAAGAAAGAGAAATTAAGGAGTCAATCCCATTTACAATTGCACCCAAAAGCATAAGATACCTAGGAATAAACCTAACCAAAGAGGTAAAGGATCTATACCCTAAAAACTACAGAACACTTCTGAAAGAAATTGAGGAAGACACAAAGAGATGGAAAAATATTCCATGCTCATGGATTGGCAGAATGAATATTGTGAAAATGTCAATGTTACCCAGGGCAATTTACATGTTTAATGCAATCCTTATCAAAATACCATGGACTTTCTTCAGAGAGTCGGAACAAATTATTTTAAGATTTGTGTGGAATCAGAAAAGACCCCGAATAGCCAGGGGAATTTTAAAAAAGAGAACCATAGCTGGGGCCATCGCAATGCCAGAATTCCGGTTGTACTACAAAGCTGTGGTCATCAAGACAGTAGGGTACTGGCCCAAAAACAGACACAGAGATCAATGGAACACAATAGAGAATCCAGAAGTGGACCCTCAACTTTATGGTCAACTAATATTCGACAAAGGAGGAAAGACTATCTCCTGGAAAAAAGACAGTCTCTTCCATAAATGGGGCTGGGAAAATTGGACATCCACATGCAGAAGAATGAAACTGGACCACTCTCTTGCACCATCCACAAAGATAAACTCAAAATGGATGAAAGATCTAAATGTGAGACAAGATTCCATCAAAATCCTAGAGGAGAACACAGGCAACGCCCTTTTTGAACTTGGCCACAGTAACTTCTTGCAAGATACATCCACGAAGGCAAAAGAAATGATTTTTAAGATTTTTAAGAACGAAACAAGATTCCATCAAAATCCTAGAGGAGAACACAGGCAACGCCCTTTTTGAACTTGGCCACAGTAACTTCTTGCAAGATACATCCACGAAGGCAAAAGAAATGATTTTTAAGATTTTTAAGAACGAACAGTGAAGGCAACTTAGCTACAATGTGCAAATTCTTTATGATATAAAGTTAAGCTTTTCTACATGATGGAACACAGTTAACTTTCACCAGGATAACGCTGTAAGACATTTACCCAAGGATCGGCTAATGTAGGTCTAGAATGACTATGAATTAAATGAAAACTATATAGGAAGAAAACTCTACAGGAAGAGAACCCAATTGTTCTTTGAAAGGGAGGGGAAAGGTCACCTTTACTGGCTTCTGGAATTACACCTCAATGCTGATAAGGAGTGAGGTTAAGAGAATTTATTCACGTAGAAAAGAATCAAGCAAAATCTCTTTTTTAATGGAAAATTCAATATAATAGCATTCGCCTTCCGTGATTTGCACCAAGGAATACTAAGATATGATACAAGGGTCCTTGTGGTTTAAAAATAACAACCTCACCTTTGTTTTTGTATTTTCCAACCTTGCTCGATTTTCTCGTTAGTGCTTTTCAGAGAAGCTTTCGCATTTGCTTCAAACATTATTCTTTTTGCAAGAAGAGCCTGTTTAATGCCACCTGTGTAGAACATAGATATTCGTTGAAATTTCATGCCGACAATTATTTGGTTTTCATATATACAATTCAATATAGGTAAATGTTGCCTCGGCAATACGTAAAGGCGCTTCAAATCTATAATGCAGGCATCGTAAATGTCCAAACAGTATGTCGCATACCTGGAACTAATATCATGTTGTGTGCCAATGACGCCCCCCCCCCGCCAAAAAAAAAGTAAAATAAAACCTAGAACACAGGCGTCGTTTGAAAAAGCCAGATTTGCTCACTAGTTTCCATAAAGTCTTTGCAGTACTAGTATCCTGATTCTCATTACTCCAACTGTGGGTTCAGAGATAAGGAAAGGGGGATAATAATCAAGACTTTCCATTATCAAAATGCGTATAAAGAATCTCAAAGACAGACTTTAATGTCCTTGTGAGAAGACAGGTAAAAGGCAAACTTTTCTGAATTTATAAAATATCCTGCAACTCAGGGGACATGTTTACATGGATTACCATTACATGGATTACATCACAAAAGCATTTTCTTAAAAACGACCCCCAAAAGGAGAAAAATCATTATATCGCACATTAAAGAATCATTTTTCAAGCGATCTAGTGATGATGCTTTTAACTGTGCTTAACTAAAAGAGAGCAAGGCTGTGACTGTAAGAACTCTAGCTGGAATAAATGAGTTCAGAAACACTTTTAAGATATTTTCAAGGGCAGCCCTGGTGGTTTAGTGCCACCTTCAGTCCATGGCCTGATCCTGGAGACCCGGGATCGAGTCCCATGTCGGGCTCCCTGCATGGAACCTGCTTCTCCCTCTGCCTGTGTCTCTGCCTCTCTCTCTCTCTCTCTCTCTCTCTCTCTCTCTCTCTCTGTCTCTCTCTCTCTCTCTCTGTGTGTGTGTGTGTCTATCATGAATAAATAAATAAAATCTTTAAAAAAATAATAAATAAAATATTTTCACGGAGCTTTTCCCATAGCACTTTTATGCATAAGTGCTGTATTCCACCGAATCTTAATACTTCAAATAAAGCTTTGCAAATCGCATGATTTGACTTTTTGGATCTACAATCGATAGTTACTTTTCAGCAGTCATGAAGGATCTGCAGTCTGATAAAACTATTTTACACACCCGGAATCCCTCTACAGTAAGAAGTTTATTAGCTCACAAAGCAAGCCCTTTGTCGCCACCAAATAGAGCAAAGCTATCAAAACATACTTGCTTTTAAGGGCGATCCTTATCGAAGAGCCACAGATTGACTTGGGACTCTTTGCTAAGTGTCCTGTCCTGTAGTGCAGATGCTGTGACTGACCTCTGACCAAACAAGAAAAAGCTTAGGAGTCTGGATATGTCATTTCTCAGCAACTACGGGAATTCTCTAGTTTGCAGCTATACGGTTTATTAATGAAAAATGACGATAAAGAGGGTGCTTTGTTTTATATTTTGGTTTTTTGGTTGGTTTTGTTTGATTGATTGATTTTGGCAGGATTCAGTTTGTGCTGCTACTCCAAAGAACAGAGCACTGGAAAGTTATGAAAAGTAACTAAATTAAGAAAAATTAAATCTGACATAAAAACCTGATATGCCACGTAATCTGTGCACACCAAAGGAGGTATGAAGTTTGCTCCGTCCACTCGCTCGCAGAATACGTTGACGTACGCGTGCATAAAATAACGGCGTCACTCTTACCTCATCTTGGTGAGTACCATTTTTACCTTTCCAGATCAACAGTGGAAAAGGTCAGCATAGAAAGTGGCAAAGTTGAATCACACTAAATACTTGTGTAACATCCTACATATGAGAACAAGGCATGAAAATCAGTCTTGCAGGCCACTCATTAACATATCCACCTGTAAAAGCTGTAGGATCTAAAGCTTTCCTTTTCCCTGCAGATATCACTTATGCATACCTCCAAGTCCTTGCAGCATCTTCTGTATTTCGTTTCTGTGAAGAAGTTACATCAAACATTACTGAGGAAAGGTAAACCCAGGTCATATTTGTTTTGGAAGAAATGTCTCATTCTAGGATTTTACAGAGAATAACCGGCAGGCAAGCCGAGTTGACTTGATGTGGCAAGGGAAAATACTGTAAACACGTTACCCCACGTCTTCCTCACGGCGGTCCGGGAGAAGACCTCTTTCGCCCATGTTTATCGGCTACTGGACTGTTTCCTGCGTTGAAATAAAAGTGGAGAACATTTTTTTAATAACACACTTATGTTTTATTGGTGTTCAATTTGCCAACATACAGAACAACACCCACTCCTCATCCCGTCAAGTGCCCCCCTCAGTGCCCGCCGCGCAGTCACCCCCAACCTCCGCCCTCCTCCCCTTCCAACACCCCTAGTTCGTTTCCCATAGCTAGGAGTCAG